AAGGATGAAGATAACAGCAAAAAAGCTCAAGAACAAGGAGGAAGCCAGACGAGTACAATAGAAATCATAACACGAGGTGACAGAGCAGTGTTACGTAAGGAACAGGGAACCTGGGGGAATCAAGTGAAAACGGAAAGACTGAAGGAAGGGATAATCAGTAAAGATATGGAAGGAGGCAACGAAATCAGAAGTGACGAAGGTGGGAGTGGTCAGCATGAACTTCAACCCTTCCTGTGGGCAGATATAACGTTCCATGGAGTATCTCAAAAAGGTGACTGTTGTAGTTAGAGACAGAGATGCTAGGTAAGGTTAGCAGTATTTAGGGTTAAGGTCAAGGAATACTGAGATAAGGTCAAGATAATAGGGTAAAGTTAAGGAGCATCAGTTATAGTTACAATTGCTAGATTAAGGTCAACACATGCCGGGTTATGTTCAGGAGAACTAGGCTAAAGTGAAGAGTGCTGAATAAAGGTCCAGGGATACCGGGCTATGGTCAGAACTGCTCGGTGAAGGTCAGGATTGCCAAGTCAACCTAAAAAATGCCAGAGGAAGGCCAGTATTACACTGTGAAGGTGAGGAACACCGGGCCAGTAGTACCAAGGGGAGATAAAAGTCCCGAGGAAGACTATATAGAATCTTAGGGTAATTATACATGGTGACAGGTAATATGTACTGCTCAGGTAAGGTCTGAAATTATCCAGGTAAATTATTCATGGAGAACTTTATATTTACTTAACCAGGCAGAGTATGACATGTCAAGGTGTGTGAGGGGAAAGAGGGAAAAGGGATGTCATGAAGGACATGTAAGACATGTCTGGGAGAAAGAGGAGAGTGGTGTTATGAGGAAGGAAGGAGTATGGAAATGAAGGGAGAAGGGGGTGGGTGGAGAAGACACGAGCCATAGTGTTGGACTACGATAGGTCATCTTAGTATTGGAAACTAGAAAGGGTAGGGTACTCTATGGAGCAAACTTCCACACATGATTAAAACTATTCTGTAATATTATTTAAAGCACTTAGTCAAAATCACAAGCATTGTGACGCTGGCCAGCCTGTCTACTAAAGCGAGACAGAGCAGGCCGAGAAGGTGTTATACGTACTGATATTGTGGCATGTAAAAAACTGCTCTCAAGGCAAACAAGTGACGAGAGTCCACATTAACGGGAAGTCCGGAAGTGTGAGGTGCACGAGGGAGGTGTTATGTGTGCAGCCTGATGCTGGAGTGGGGGCATATTTGTAGCCCCAGTGTGGCCCCAGCGTGGCCCCAGCATGGCCTACTACCCGTGTGGCCGCTGGGGACTGATGTGGAGAAACGAGCCCCACGATGCCCCAGCAGGGGAACTTATGGGGCACTTAATGCCCCGAGTACCGCGTCATGACGACTACCATCGTCTCCACTTAGGCAAGTCGATGATGTCTTTGAGCCTCTTATCTTAATGCAATACTGCAAATTTGCAACACAAGCAGTTAGTGTCAGATCAAGTCTTGAAACCGAGACAAAAGAGAGCACCCAATGAAAAGCTTCACATTCTGCTTGATAGCAATATTGCAGGTTGCAAATATCGTTGAATGTTCTGCACTAGTACATGGAGGTCTTATGTTGTGACTGTGTGGCAGGCACGGAAGTGCTTGATCCCATGGGAAGGGCTGGCGCAGCGTGACCCAGGCCTCGAGGGCCATCGCTCTACCACTACCCGAAGCTGTCCAGGCTGGCCATGGAGCCGCGACGGGTGAGCGCCGGCAGCGACACCAGCGAGGAGGTGCCGAAGAGCTTGTACCATCCGATGACGATGTTGGAGAGGTCCAGGTCGTCCAGCATGATCTGCGCCAGGCCCATGAACACCTTACGGCCCTCCATGCGCCCGTAGTCGCCCCACACCGTCACCTGTTGCGGGAAGGAGGCTGTCAGGGGCTGGCTAAAAGACTAGCTAAAGGGTTATGCTGTATGACAACTCGTGTTTATTCATACGTGATATCCAGTGCCTTCTAGAGAAAATAGTGAAAGACAATCATCATCATAATAAAGATGATAATGATAATGATATTAATTATAATAATAATAATAATAATAACAGTAATGATATCAATAACAATGATAATTAAGTATATCAGTGTATTTCTTTAGAATATTTTCATAACTTTCCCGATCTATACTCTTATTCACAGCACTTACATGTGATATATACATACAGCTAAATCCATATTCCACGCAAAAATATATCAGAGACCAATATGATAAAAAATATGTATTCTAAGTGGAAATTATTAAGGATAACAATATTTTTTCTGCACATTTTGATCGTGCAAAACTATGAGCATTTGCCGAATTCATTAATATCTAAAGCAACATTGCACAATGAACTCCCTGTAATGCTGTTAGCTACTTGATACTTACACACGTGTCAGTTTGATAGAATTTTACTTACTAAAGGGGGGTATCACGGAAACTGTAATTTTCATGATTTTTCTACAATGTTGCGCATTATCTTCAAATATATACCGAATAACGTATCTATACGAAATGTCTCAAGGCCTATTTACTCTCTACTTTCTAGAAAAGTCAAATGGATATATAGTGTGAATAATATAGATATATCTCAAATTATTGTAATGATATTTTTTTCGTAGAGCTCCATAGTCTGTGATCATCTTGTTAATATCATTATTTTGAAGCCACCCTTGGCGAGTCTCTCGAAAGATCTACGAACAGCATTCCTCCTGTTTGTAAACACGTGTACAAAGTAACGGGGATATGCAATTTCAAAAGAGACTGTATATAGTAGAAAGTACGAGCAAATTTGTCCTCGAAACACTACATTTATATTTTGAATTGTGCATTTCTGTTTGGCAGTATCACTGATTGGGGATAAATGAATCAAAGACGTTTCTGTGCAGCAGAAAGTACTTAAAAAGAGATAAATTTGTTACTAGCACCCTCTTTCGAATTTCTTTTGCGAAGATAATGTATTATCCAGCTTTGATATCTCTAATACATCAACCAGTTTTACATACCTGAAAGAGTCTTGGTTCCTCCTCAGGACGATGCCGTCTAAAAGATCATGACTACCTCTTACAGCCTTGAAACCTCCAGAAGTTGCTCCGCTAAACCTCTACCTCAGACAGACCACTGAGTGTACGTACCTGCAGAACACAGCCTTGGTACCTCTCGTGGAAGATGAGCTGCTGTTGGTACAGTGGGTCGAGAGTCCTCCTCGCCGTCGCCGTCTTGGCTTTGGCCACGCACTTCTTCCCGTCCACCAAGTATACCTTCACGTAGGGCGCTGTGGGACCAACACCAGCGTTACTCAAGTCACACTCGCCTATCAGCACACAGTTTCGAGGATGCTTTGACATGTACAGTCAACGTATAGAGCTCGTTCGCGTGAATGAAGCTTTGAAACGCCTTAGTGTGGGGTGAATTATTCTCGAGGCAGTGTTCGAAACAGGCTCGAAGAGACATTCTACGCTGACTGTACAGACCTTTGGTGGTGAGGTGAGGACGGCAATGTCACACAGCTGTCATGAGATACTGTGTGACAGGAAGTTTCTCATGCTCGTGTGAAATTATGGTCAATTGTCCTTTATTTGGAAAGCAGTGTTAAAGATAAAAGATTTACAGGAATGTTTTTTCTAGTAAAAGCTTATACTGTATGTATTAAAGGGAGAATTATGATATAGGTGACCGGATGCAAACGAAGAGAGGTACGTCTACAGTACACAAAAATCACAAAGGGTGTAGTTGTGATTATCAAAGTCAGGAATAAAGGTAAAATGTTTAATTGCAAACATCAGTCAATACGCACCCACAAATACATACATACACATGAGTATATACGGCACGCAGAGAGTATGTGTGTGTGTGTGTGTGTGTGTGTGTGTGTGTGTGTGTGTGTGTGTGTGTGTGTGTGTGTGTGTGTGTGTGTGTGTGTGTGTGTGTGTGTACTTGTGTGTGACAAAAATGAAGTGAGCATAGTGTAATCAACAAATAATTATATTCATCGATCTCCTCTAGTTGGAGTTATGCCAATATTTCTAATTCTCTCTTTCTCATCTGATTTTGGACTGGGATGATATATAACTGTAGAAATTCCAATATATGCATATACATACATGGAAACATTCATTAATACATACATACATACATATAGACATAAATACATACATACATATACATGTGTATACATATACTGTACATATACACACGCACAGGCGCACACACGTACTCACATTAACTTTCACACTCACATTCACACACACACAACAGACAGCGCATTCGTGACAGCAGCACAGGAATCGCCCGCCCCAAGGCTTTGCTGCGACCTTGGTGAGGAAGGTCAGGAAAGGACAGAAGAGGAACCTGTCAAGGAAGGTGATAAGGGGAGCCTTGTCTTTGCGTGTACTACTCCGCAAGGTTGACTGAAGGCTGACTGAAGGTTGGTTGACTGAATGGAAGGGAAAACTACTGTGCACATTACCGTGGGGGGAACGGAGCTGCAGATCTAGGCTAGATGATGCACCAGTGCAACGGGATGCAGTGTTGGTGTGGGTGTGCATGGGTGCGGGGGAGGGAGAGGAAGGGGGGAGGGTGTGTAATGAGGCTGCAACAGACTGCTACTGACCAGGTAAGATTCGGGCCCCTGTTTTGCACTGGAGGCCCCTCGCCCTGATGACCTCCACCTCAAGCTTGTTCTTACGGTCACACATAGACAGCTGGATGTCTCCAAGAGCAGGAGCGGCCAACACCTGGCGCCCTACCAGCTGGCCCGGACCAAGGCCTTCGATGAACTCGCTCAGCTGACCATCTGTTCCCAGGCGCATAGATGGTACGCGACTGTTGAACGAGAGTTGAGATCAGACAAGATAATGGTGGTTTATAGTAACGTAAGGCTAGTACTAAATGCATTAACTCTAATGTGGTAAAAATCATTAACTATGGATTATAATTTCTCATGATATATGCTATTATTCAATAAGTGGACCGGCTCTGATCATGAATCTGCT